CACGCTGAAGGCTGTGTTAGACTCTGGGAACGTTTATGTTGGATGAGAACCTTCGGTGACTCAGGCATGTTAAAGCTTCCAGCTACAACAGATCCAGATGGACTGGACTGTGACCAGAACATGTGTGTGTTTCTTCCCCTAGGGGGGACATGTGTTGTTGGTTTTGTTGTTGTTGAAAACATGCACAGCAAAACATATGCCCATTCAATCGTTTCTACACATACAATTCATTGACACTGATTATGTTCTCTGAGTTGTACAATTATGCTCACCCTCTTGTCTGATTTGTCCCATGAACATGAACGCTTGCTGCCCCCTAAGGTTCCTAGCTAATCTTCTGAATTGCTCTTCTTCAGCAGGGAGTCTCGAAGGGTCTTGGCAGTGGGATAGCTCTGGCTGCAGTGTGCAGAAGACCTGGGATAGCAGGGGACAGATGGCAGGGGCAGTAACCCAAGAGATGAGCACAGCAGCGCGGACAGCAGAGGATGGTGGGTGACCGGAAATGTTGGACGTGGAATCCTACTTTTTCTTTTCACCAACCTAAAATGTTATCTTCAACTAAGTTGCAGTCACATTACAAATGAACCTCCAGCAGCCAGACAAGTGGGTCGACCGAGGGTACATTTCCTTAAATCTCCCAGGCTTAGCAATCTATCTGTGGTCAGGGAGCATCATGGTGTGTCAGGCCTGTACAGTGCCAAGTAGGTCAACAGTCAGCTTCTCTGGTGGCAGAGGTGATGTCTGGGGCATCACCCCAGCAACAAATGCATTCACGTTTTCAGCAAAAAAATGTTGAGTAGTCACACCACAGGGAATGAAGGAAGGTAGTGTGGGTCAGGTTTGGCCACACAGCAACTTCAAGTCAGGCTTTATTGCCAAATATGGGACAAAAGAATTTGAAAAAGTTTTCAAGAGCTCTGGGCATTTCAGAACTGAAAATTCAGGCAGGAGATGGAAGATTCAGAATTAGATCTTAATTCCTATATTTAGGTTGGATGTCTATACATAAACTATACCCTTAGCAAGCATTTTACTCCAAAGTACCAGGATACTTGAGAATTGAATGCAGACAAGGAAATAATTACAAGATCATATCAGTAACACTGTTGAGCTACTAAAGAAGGGTGTAAAAATGTCATTGCACACAGGTATGAATGTGTGCTGAGGCAACCAGAACTCCAGGAAATGGCTGTGTGAAGCATTCCCATCCAGCCATGTGAAAAAACCAAGACCACCACAAAGGTAAGGATGCTGAAGCCAGAGGCAAGGACCAGAGGGAAGCCCCGCAGGCCAAGAGCCCAAGGAACCTGCCGGCAGCCAGGAGCTTGTGATAGCCAGAGGAGCCAGCAGGTATTCCCAATCCACAAAGCATGTCCCAGTGGAAGTAAATCAACAGCTGCAAAATCCATGTGACCACTGAGACAAAGCCAGTTGGTTGTGATCAAAATCGTGGCCCTGGAGTGGTTGGAATTCTCAAGATGCCACAGTATGACTCTCCCGAAAGGTACCTGGAACACGTTTGTGTCACATCAGGCAAGCACAATGACAACTACAGTCAACAAGAAAGAAAAGTACCAACGAGCCTCACTCCTACAGCCCATCTGGACCCATAAGGAGCCACTGTGGGGCACGCAACAGCTCCTTTGAAGTGCTGCCCAGTCGTTGGCCACATGTTACTGGATCACTAGCCCTCAATGGAGTTCCTTTCTGTAAAACTCAAAGCCCGTCCTTGTCGCCTCTACAAAACTGACCCTGCTGGTGTGAAAACCCCCAAGCATCCAAACAAGCTTCCTTTCGAGCCGCAGTAGCTATGTGGGACTGGACACCAAGGAGGCAAGCTCTTTAACCCAGAGGACGAGGAATTCGAGCTGACAGAGCAGTGCAAGGTAGAGTAGCACCCGGAGGGCTCACAGCATTTGCCAAAACCCAGAGCCCTTCCCAGCCCCACCTTAGCCTGTGCTCTGCACTGCCTCCAAAACGGAGTTCCTCCCCACCGGCTGGCTTTCCACAGTTCTTGCAGAGCTTGAATGAAAATATCCAAAACAGCAACAACAGAAGAGAGAGACCGAAACGTCCGACTCTTTCAAGGGAAAGCTGCTGAGAGCTACTGACGACCCTGCTAACACATCCGAAACAAGAGGAGCTCCGTGAGACCCCAGGAGCCCGAGGCAAAAGCCTCAGTAGGCAGCAGCTGTCCTAGCACATGGGTGATCCTGCAAATGCAGAGGTCACTTGTGAAGAGGGGGGCTCCACACCCCAGGTGTCGAGGAAGCATAGCTTCAAGGGCAGCGTTCAAGGAAGAGACTACTTCAAGCTCTCCGCACACAGGCGCAATGCAGACGTCCTGAAAGGAGCATGGGGTGGGTGCAGGGTTATCACCCTCACTCACTGGTATGAAAACATCCTCTCTCAGGAGTCTGGGGCAGGAGCTGGGCTAACCTCTGTGGGCCCTCATACAGCACCAAAGCATATAAGTTGTTGATTCTAGTTCAGAAAACAAAGAGTAACATCCCCCCCAAAAAAACCTAGTAGAAGCTCTAAGATACGTCTTAAGATTGACTCTCACTTTACCGACTTCTTCATGTGAGCTTCTGTAAACATCCAATCTCCCAGCTACCTGAGGGGGAGTCAGGCTGAAGAGTCATTGATGAGCTCGGCTGTTGACCAAAAGCTGGGCACTCCGAAGACCCCAGCCCCTGGGCCACAGAAAGGGCCTTTTCCCATCAGGTTTTCCACCTAGGAACCCAGTGGAGGCAGCTCTGCTCAGGCTCACAGGGCTTCTGTGTGCTGGAATTGACTCCAAGGTATGAAACAACGATAGGGCTAATTCAGGATCCAAATTGCTTTGTGAGTTCCTTTTTTTTTAACTTAGGAAGCTAAACCACCCAGAGGGAAAAATAAGCAAGCAAACAAAAAAAGCCCCACAATGAACTTTAGGATTCTAGAAGTTATGCTACATTTACATCGGGAAAAACGATGCTATCCTGCAAAAGGATGAGGCAAACCTACACGTATTGATGGGAAAACATGATAATTGATTTATTCTTTTGGTTTTTTGCCCCCTCTATCTTGTTAAAAAAAACTTGTATTTACCATGTTAAATTCTTTTTTTTCTTTTTAAA